GATGGATTGATGGATCGCGCACGAATGCTACATGATCAATATTTATCGCGTCAGTATTTGCATATTTTTTGTGCTGAACGCTTATTATGATGCAAGAAAATATTTTAATTTTGTATGAATAATTTGGAGATAATGCATTCCACCATTACTTTAAAATTTCCCATGTTAATTCAAATTTTTTCAACTTGTTTTGAAAGGTTTTAAGCAACGAGAACGAAAGCATAGCGAATACGTTTTCGATGTTCGCATTATGAGAGTACAAGATGTACTGACGAAATGTATGGATCGCGTTTTGAAAGTGCTACACGCTCAATATTTATTGACAATATCGCGGTCCGCGATCCAGATTTCAAAATTATTAGAAATTTTGCGATATGGATCACGATCCATCAATACTGCATACTACACCGTCAATAAATATCGCGATACTTGGATCACGTCAATAAATACTGACCGTGTGACAGTGCCCAATAAACAATAAACAAAAGCAAAGAACAAGAAACAGAGATGCAAAGTGAATCAAGAACGTGGCGTGTAAACGGTTAATTCGCCGTTTGTAATTGAGAGAGTGACCACGTGATTCGGTTGGCGTGGAAACGCCGATTTATATTTTTTATATTTGGCGACTATCGATAGTTTAAGAAAAATATCGCCCACTATCGATAATTTGCCACCACTAGGGCCTATAGGTATCGACTTTGTTGTACTCGTTTTTTACGAATCAGCTGTTTGCAAAATAGCATAATGGCCGTGTCAGAATGGGTAGTTTACGCACGTTCCGCTCATAGGGCTTTCGCAAGAGGCGATTTTTCAGGCAACTTTTACGTTCAGCTCACGCAGGGTTGCACGAAAAAAAATTGATTGGCTAAAAATATCCAAATATTCGCCATTAAAGGCGTTGGCATTGTTTATCTTGGCATTCTACTTTTGGTTGGACGGCCTTTCAACTAATCGATTTCAACAAAGTTGGTCGCCAGCCAACATTTAGCCATTAAACTTTTTTTTCGCGCAACCCTGCGTGAGTTGTAAGCAAAAGTTGAACGCAAAATCGCCTCTTTCGAACACCTTCTCAAGGATGAAACTGACAGTTGAGTAGACTGAGCGAACTGTCACTTAATTATCTATTGTATGGGCAATGAATTCAAACGATTATAATGCACTTGAACGCAATGTAAAACGGAAGCATCTAAAATAAATAAAAAGATTTGAGCCTTATCGGATTTTCGATGCTTCTTTTGCACTTAGCAAATTTTCCTCGCATTGAATATAAACGAGAATGAATAAAACAAGTACATACCTTTCGAAACAATGCATTTTAAATTTTTCTAGCCTACCGTACGTAGACTTAGCAACTTTTCACTCTAAGCTAGCGATATGTAAATACATACTTATTTTTAAACCAAATAATACAATATTGCTGTTGCTATCTTAAAGCATAACCAGACGGCAGCGTTGATCCGGATCAACTCGGGGAATTAACTGCAGTTGATCCGTACCAAGTCCGAGTTAATCCAGATCAACGCTGCCGTCTGTTTAAGCTTTTACACTTTTTTACTTTTAATCAACAATTACACTTAGTTGTACCTCGCTGCTCATTAAGTATTTCTTCTTTTTCCCATTCTGGTACCATTTTCGGTTTCACTTGCCATAAATCTGTTTTCAATCCTTTGATTTGAGCTGTAAGAAATATGGACTAATATATACCTATCCCAAATATCGGTATCATATTGGTGAATTTATTTATGCCGATTTTGTTTCTACCGAAAAATGTAACCTTCTCTTTGCCTCCACGCACAAACACTAAGAAGAGGGGGATGAGAACATTTTTTTAGAAACGAAATCGCCATTAAAAGAAACTACAAAAAATGACCTTAAATTTAGCTAAGTTATAAGCATGTACGGTTAAACACGTTGAAAGAGTAAATATGTACACATATAAGTATAAGGATGCATAGTAATATACAATTATCACCAAATTAACTGCTTCCTGTAAAATCAATCATGGTTTAAATTCAAATTACTTACCGTCTTTGTATCTTTCCACGCCTTCCTCAAATTCAAGTAAATTAATGGAATTTAATGATGCAGTCTCGTGTTCAATCGCTGTGGAAAAGCCTTTACGTCTTTCATAGTAGTTTGAAAACATATTGGAACGATCTCGGTTAACTGCTTCCATAGGAAACTTTGCAATAGAGAAAGCCAAATTTACTGCCTGCCCCAATGCTGTACCTGTGGCTACTAAACGATTAACTAACCCTATATCTAGAGCCTCTCGACCATCAACTCGCCTACCCGTAAGAATTAAATCTAACGCACGCGAGTATCCTATTAAAGCAGGCAGCCTACCTATACCCCCACATTCAATATTGAGCCCTATAGATCGACCGAAAAATCCCAAAACTGCTGTATCTTCCATAACACGAAGATCACAAAACATCGCCAATTCCAACCCATCAGCTATGCAATAGCCATTAATGCCACAAATAATTGGCTTTTTTGAATGCCTGCGTAAAAAATTATGATAAAGGCAGAACCCCTTATACTTCTGGTTGACTGCGTTAATTTTGCATCGCTTTTCTAACTCAGTCAGATCTTGGCCTGCGCAAAACGAACCACCTATTCCATAAATTACTGCAACCGGCGAAGTTTTATCGTTTTCAAATGTAGCAATTGCGCCACTTAAGCAGCCTGCGGTCTCTTCATCAATAGAATTGCGATTACGTGACCGATTTAAACCAATCAAGGTAATACGATCATCCTTATCAATTAAGACTGGAGGCCCGGTACAATTGCTCCCGTTTCCAGATGTCGCAGTTGAAATGCTTTGCTTTTTCCGTACAGACATTTTCGACGTTAGCTTTAATATAGTACATTTTATTTATATTGGATTCAGATAAAAATGTAAAAGTTTTTTAAACTTACACGCAGTATCCTGTCCAAATAAGCACTCCTACATGGATTTAGAACATTCGCCATTATTCCATTCAAAAGAAAATGTTTGTAAACAACGTCAATTTAAATTCAGTACAGATGAGACAAAACGAGTAAATACAAGTATATACTCGATACTTTTGTGCGTTAGTAATATTGGTATCGATACTTTTCAACCAAGTACTGAGTAGGCCCTGATCCAACTACACAAGATCTAAAAAGATGAAGCAAAAGAAAAAAGTAATTTTCTGGTTGACGTTTGTAATTTCGGCATCATGTTATTTTCTTTGAAAAGTAAACAAAGAATATGAAGACGAAGCATAAAGAAAAACATGCAAGCAATTTTGGTGCACATGTTTGTGCTAACCAATTTATTATTTTTGTACGTGTTTTAATTACATTTGCACAAAAAATTTATGAAAATCGCTTAAAAATCACTGAAATAAATCACCGACAAAATACACATAAAGAAAGAAGCAAAACAGAAATAGCAAACTTCAAAATTACGAACGTCACACACTTTTCTCAATACCTATTACAAATCGCTGCTTCTCAACCGGTCAGATCTGTTCTAATTGGTTCATGAGTAGTTCCTGATCCAAATACACCAATCTAATTGGTCTAATTGGTTCATGTGAGTAGGCATCGAAAAAAGCTTTGTTTCTTAACAGATAATTATCACAAATGATCACTAATTTCTTCTGGAAAGCGTTTCTTTTGTGTGATGGAAACTAACACATTCTCATTTATCTTACTAACACATTTGCAAATTTTGCGTTGGTTAAAAAGAGACCAATATATAAGGCCATAAGTTGGAGGAAGACGGAAGATCACATGTACACAACTGTTTACATCAGATTTTTCACACTGCCCTTTAGAATGTGATAGAATGCAGGGTTATTTATCGGGTCTTATTAAAACGAAAATGCCTGGAGTTACTGTATGTTTCTTCCTGAGCTTGGTAAATTGGTTATAGAAATAAAAAGTAAGCAAGTCAGTAAGTAAAGGCTCTCTAAGGCTGAGTTTTGTCGTCAAAAGTAAGAATGTAATACAATGTTCTGACCGACAACGAAAACACTTTGAAAACGAGTTTTGGAATTGTGGGCTGAAGGCTGTTCACACCGGCTGTTAGTGTTTTCGTTGACATTTCTTACATCCTCTCATTGCAGTTTTGCTACACAAAAACAAAACCAACATGCTTTTCCTTAATTTTCTTTTCATTAGCAACCTCTCACTTTCATTCTTATTTTACTTTTGTCAGCTAATTAACAATAAATCCGAAATGGCGTATTAAAAATGATAAAGTATGACTTCCACTTCGATAAATAATCGAAAAAACTAGTGCAGACACCGATTGGAATGAGTGGAACGTGAGATTTCAAGTGGTTTTCATTGACGAAAACACAAGTTTTAGGTCGAAAACCAGTTTTAGCAACGAAAACATGTTTTCGATGTCGGTCAGAACATGGTATAATAGAGAGCGAATACGTTCCACTTTTGGATCGTAAATGTCTTCTTCTTTGTGCACGAAACAGACCGGACTTTTTTTCCGGGCACAAACGTGCATAAGGGCAATTTGAAATAACTGCTGCTGTTGTTTAAATCCGAAAGGAAATTTTATAAAAACAAAAGTGGAAAATATCACAGAATTTTCCGAAAATGTAGGTATTTAGTAGTTTTATTAGCCATATAAGATAAATACACGTAAAATCATTGTTTAGAGCTGATATGCGGATTCCGGGCACGAAATGTGGTTTTTTGCTTTCTCACGCTCTGGGCACTTTTGTGCAAAAAAAGTGTACAGCAAAAAAAAAAACGAGTATTCAAGTCATTCAAATCGTTTATACCATGTAAGTAAATACATTCATTNTAAATACATTCATTATTTTACCTTTCGAAACTTATTAGAGAAAATCGACTCTACCGTTAGTATTAGCTTTTTTTTAACGGAAAATCTGCAAAAAAAACTGCTTAGAGTAGCTTTATTTCTTCTATGACTATGGGGTATAATAAGCTGTTAATGGAGATCAACANATTGAAAACGAGTTTTGGAATTGTGGGCTGAAGGCTGAACTTTCGCATTGGCTTTGGCGTTGGCGTTGGTTTGACAGAACGCACGTTAAAAGAATGCTNCGGATTCCGGGCACGAAATGTGGTTTTTTGCTTTCTCACGCTCTGGGCACTTTTGTGCAAAAAAAGTGTACAGCAAAAAAAAAAACGAGNAAAGGCTCTCTAAGGCTGAGTTTTGTCGTCAAAAGTAAGAATGTAATACAATGTTCTGACCGACAACGAAAACACTTTGAAAACGAGTTTTGGAATTGTGGGCTGAAGGCTGTTCACACCGGCTGTTAGTGTTTTCGTTGACATTTCTTACATCCTCTCATTGCAGTTTTGCTACACAAAAACAAAACCAACATGCTTTTCCTTAATTTTCTTTTCATTAGCAACCTCTCACTTTCATTCTTATTTTACTTTTGTCAGCTAATTAACAATAAATCCGAAATGGCGTATTAAAAATGATAAAGTATGACTTCCACTTCGATAAATAATCGAAAAAACTAGTGCAGACACCGATTGGAATGAGTGGAACGTGAGATTTCAAGTGGTTTTCATTGACGAAAACACAAGTTTTAGGTCGAAAACCAGTTTTAGCAACGAAAACATGTTTTCGATGTCGGTCAGAACATGGTATAATAGAGAGCGAATACGTTCCACTTTTGGATCGTAAATGTCTTCTTCTTTGTGCACGAAACAGACCGGACTTTTTTTCCGGGCACAAACGTGCGTAAGGGCAATTTGAAATAACTGCTGCTGTTGTTTAAATCCGAAAGGAAATTTTATAAAAACAAAAGTGGAAAATATCACAGAATTTTCCGAAAATGTAGGTATTTAGTAGTTTTATTAGCCATATAAGATAAATACACGTAAAATCATTGTTTAGAGCTGATATGCGGATTCCGGGCACGAAATGTGGTTTTTTGCTTTCTCACGCTCTGGGCACTTTTGTGCAAAAAAAGTGTACAGCAAAAAAAAAAACGAGTATTCAAGTCATTCAAATCGTTTATACCATGTAAGTAAATACATTCATTATTTTACCTTTCGAATCTTATTAGAGAAAATCGACTCTACCGTTAGTATTAGCCTTTTTTTAACGGAAAATCTGCAAAAAAAAACTGCTTAGAGTAGCTTTATTTCTTCTATGACTATGGGGTATAATAAGCTGTTAATGGAGATCAACATTTTCTATCAAAAATGGTTTTTCTCTTAAAATAATAACCTATTGATGAAGGATATATTAAAAAGCCGCAATGTGCATATTTTGCATTTAGTTTGAAAAAAATTTGCAATTAAAAAAGTACTAAGTAATCATTAAATAAATAATAAATTTAACACAAATAAATTGGGGGAAACGCTAAGCTCCAAAAGCGGTGCATTAATTCATGCTACTTCTTGACATTTATTCGGAAAATGTTTGACATAATAAAAGAGCTGAAATCAGTCGAAATCTGGCCAGAGGTGTAATTTTTAAGTGCCTTTGAAAAGTAAATACTAAAAGCACTTTTAAACACGTAAGAAAAATGTAATTTATGAAGGAATTGTCAAAATGTGTATATAGAATTTAAATCAAAGAAAAGGGGCATAAGTCGCATGATTTTTTGGAAAAGTTTCAAAATAAGCCTATTTTTAAAAAGCCGTTGTCAGGGGGCATCGATCTCCAAAAAGTGTCAATTTGACACTTTAGTCGCACAACGGTAACACTGGCTGGCACATTTTTGACCCTTGTGAGCGAGTAAATTATTTTTACTCTCTAATTACCGGAGCAGCCCGGAAAGTGTGGGGAACGAAGCTAATACAAACCAAAACCCGAGTCAAGGGAATACTAAAATAGAATTCGCAAAAGTCGGGTCAGAAAAATAACTATGTGTAAACTCTTGACATCGGTAGTGATGTGATGTTAAATGTTTCAATTGGGCTATCTTCTCCAATAATTAAAGTATTCGGTATCGACCCTTTTATATCCGTTTTGACAATCCACACGATTTTCCATTCATATGCGGAGCAACTCTGGGTTCAAGTGAAAAGTGTGGAATAGCTCGTATAGAAGTTGTAAAATTGGTATTGGCGGGTGAAAACTGCAAACTGCATTGAATTTCTGGTCAATTTGCCAGACATAAATTGTAAAATAATCAAATAAAAGAAGTATTGCCGCGTTATTGTGTTTATAAGTGCCAGCAGTAGTGGAAAAGTGCCGGAGATAAACAGATTATTGCTTTGAAAATTTGCGTTATATATGAAGTGCTGGTAAATTTTTGTCAAAAGCGCCGACACCGTCGCCACACCACTGACGCAGCGAATAGAAAATAAGCGGGTGTGCATCTTTATATATTTCAGTGAAGTTAATTTGGACTATTTTCTAAAATGCCCATCTGCAAACGCGATGGCTTTGACAATATGCCATCTCGTAGCCGAGACGAGACTTTTCATGACAACGACGAGGTGTTCTTTTGTGAAGTTACAAAGGAAATCTTTCGCGACTATGAGTAAGTAACTTGGAACTATTTTTATTTTGCTTATTAAGGTAAGGCAAGGAATTAACACATTTTCTTCATGTACATATCACAAAATTTTTTTTTTTCCAAAGCAATTTGTCATGGGCTTTTCGTAAAACTATGCTTNAAAATTTTTTTTTTCCAAAGCAATTTGTCATGGGCTTTTCGTAAAACTATGCTTTAAGAAAGAAGGAATTAAAAGGTTGAGGATAAAAGCAGTGCAAAGCGTAAACTGAAAATGTAATCAAAAAGTCTAGCCAGCTGCTTCGGAAAGCGGTTGGCGGGAACATATTGGTGAACAACGCACTCCTGTAGAGTTGCCATATATAAGCATAAATGATCAATTATGGACGTTTTTATTCATTAATTCCGGATCTAGAACATGGTACTAATCCATGAACCAAAAATACAAGATCCCGTAAGAACGCGACGTTGTATTTGTAACTGGTTTTGAAAAAAAGTTTGCGGAAGCGGGTTCGTCAGCTGAGCGTTTGTTTACATCACAAGCACCACTATTTTACACTTTTATTCAAATAAAGAAGAGTTAATTCAATATGACAACACATTTTAAAGCATTTTGTTGCATCATTTTACCTAAATTGTGCGTTTAAAGTGGCTGACAATAGTTTTGGCTAATTTTGGTTTTTGTTGTTTTCTTTGCTTTGTTTACTTTTCGCTCGTTTTCCAGTGAAACAAGATGGCGTAGAACCCGCTAAAAAATCGACTTTTTAACCGACTTCCAAAAAAGGAGGAGGTTATCAGTTCGTCGGAATCTTTTTTTTTTTTTTTTAATGTATGTTACCGCATAACTTTGCACCACGTCAACCGATTTCAATAATTCTTGCAACGGAAAGGTAGTGTCTCAGAGGTGGTCCCATACTAATTTGGTTTAGATCCGATCATTGGATCATGAAATATATAGATATATATATATTTTTTTTTAAGTCGGTTTTTTTTTTTTCTAAAAATTACTTGTTTCACTCTCTTGTTCTTACGTGATCTTGTGTCTTTCGTTCATGGTACTAATCCATGAACCAAAAATACAAGATCACGCGGGCAGGAGAGTAGCCCGTTAGAATCGCATTTAGGGAAAATTTTAACGATTTTGACAATAGCCGTTTGTTTACATTTCTTCATTGTTTACAATTTGGTCGTGGCTCTTTACTGCAATTTTCTTCTTTTTCGCCTGTGACAACGTGTGTACACATAAGATAAAGAATAATTTAACACAACGGCATGATTTATAGAAGAATTTGCATAATAAAAATGATTGTCCATGCGTTCAACAATTTTGCGGTTTTCTCCGTTCTCTTCGTTGTTTACTTCTTACAACAAAGATGGCGTCGAGATTTCGGCAGCTAGAAAATAACTTTTTTCGTTCTTTCCTTCCCGCGTGATCTTGTGTCTTTCGTTCATGGTACTAATTACAGGTATGTCTTCCCAGAGAGTTTTGGTTCACATCCATGGTACAATAATTACAGGTATTGTGTTCCCAGAGAGCGCGTATTCCGATCTGCCTTATCTAAAAAACATCATTGTTGCCCACACTAAAAGGTTTACTGCTAGGGAAAAGGGATATTTTCATACCCCATATACCATATCGTCGCCTGGGTAAAAGATTGTCGTAAACGCCATTTTGACGATTTTTAGTTCCAGATGCTGTTATATACTTTGAAATAAGTTCTTTTGATTGGTGTTATCAGTTTTTAGATATCGCCTTTAGTTTCCGAGATATTGACTAAAATTTTTTCGATAATTTTGTAAAAATTTGGTTAGTGATGCAGTCATATTAAACTAATCAATATCGGTGTTCTCCATTTTTGTATATCTCCTTTAGTTTCCGAGTTATTCAGTAAAAGGTGTCGTTAATTTAGTAGAAATTTTGATCACATTTTGTCGTATTTCATACAAATAGGCTGCCAAATTGTGTACAAATGGCGCATACGACAAAATATTACTAAAGAAAATTCTTCATAAACTCAAAACTAATTAACAGTAAACATTAAAATTTAATTTGTCTGTTCCTTTGAACTTCGGACTAAAACCTGNAGGCTGCCAAATTGTGTACAAATGGCGCATACGACAAAATATTACTAAAGAAAATTCTTCATAAACTCAAAACTAATTAACAGTAAACATTAAAATTTAATTTGTCTGTTCCTTTGAACTTCGGACTAAAACCTGTGGAACTGTC